CAAAAACAAACAAACAAACAAGCTATAGAATAAGAGTTTGAAGTAAACGAAGAATGCAGAAGAATCGGGTCTGATGCTGAGTCCAAACTCTCTCTCAAACGAAAACAAACAAAGAGAGAGTGAAATTGCCGAATGTGTGAACAATCAAGCCTAGGACATTCGAGTAGTTATGTTCACATTATATAAAGAGCCAATTTCAGAAGAACAACAAAATCTCACAAAATACCAACAATTAGACTTTCCTGCCAAATATTTTGTAGCAGGTGTGGACTTACAAGCTTTTGGTTCCCAGTCTAACTGGAAAGTGAGCTATCTTGAATTTCTTGGCTATTTCTCAGTTGTTAGTACACAATATATGGAAACCTAAATAAGTGGACACAACATGTCATAATAGGACTACTAGGTGCACTTTCAGGTGGACAACAACTTGCATCTACTCCATATGGATCCATTAGGTTAACATCATAAAAATAAACCCAAAACCGCCAACTCTGGACAAAACACAGAGTTATAACCAATCTCACATCAGGAGCATCAAAACATCATAGAACCAAAGATAACATCAAAATATCATGGAACCAAAGATAACATCATAGAATCAAAGATAACATCAAAACATCACACAACCAAAGATAACATCCAAACATCATGGAACCAAAGATAACATCAAAACATCATGGAACCAAAGATAACATCAAAACATCATAGAACCAAAGATAACATCAAAACATCATAGAACCAAAGATAACATCAAAATATCATGGAACCAAAGATAACATCAAAACATCACACAACCAAAGATAACATCAAAACATCACACAACCAAAGATAACATCAAAACATCACACAACCAAAGATAACATCAAAAACGTCATAGAACCAAAGATAAAATCAAAAACGTCATACAACCAAAGATAAAATCAAAAACGTCATACAACCAAAGATAGCATCAAAAACGTCATACAACCAAAGATAGCATCAAAAACGTCATACAACCAAAGATAGCATCAAAAACGTCATACAACCAAAGATAGCATCAAAAACGTCATACAACCAAAGATAGCATTAAAAATGTCATACAGCCAAAGATAGCATTAAAAACGTCATACAACCAAAGATAACATTAAAACATCACACAACCAAAGATAAAATCAAAAACATCACACAACCAAAGATAACATCAAAACATCACAGAACCAAAGATAACCTTCAATAAATTGGCCGTCATACAAAATAAAGGTACATAATAGTTACATGGTAATTCTGAATATAAACAGTACAACCAGTTCACTAATCATATGTTATTAATTTATATACATTTCAATATAGTAAGCTATACATATATATCTCAGATGTCCTGATTCACCGACAAAAGAAGACAATTTTCACTAAATAAATTAATACTTTCTATTTCCTGAATGTTTGCTTTCTTCACATCTAACCTGGTACATCAACTAAATACAGAAGCCTGTCCCAATTACCTTATCAACACGCTGATAAATATACACTACGTAAAATAAACTACCTATCGCCATTACAGAAACAGGATAAACATCTAATTAAGTAATACTGAAAATACTGTTTACATTGGAACAATGTAAAACATCTGATTAATGCCAATTGTAATGAACCCTGTAAAAACTTTGATCATAACAGTGTATGTGGTGATGAAACGGAATGGATCCTTTGATTTTATGTGTTCAACATAACATTTTCTCCTATTTCTTTAGTATTATGGAGAACTACATTTGTAAAGAAGTCGCGTCTTCCTCTTAATATTACAGCATTTGCTGCCTACATCCGTTACTATATCTTAAAAAATACAGCATCGAATATCAAAGCAGCCATCATATTCCAAATCAATTTTTGTATTGTTGTCCAATCAGCTACAATGTTATCTACCTACAGAATCAATACTCAGTATGTCCTGTAACATATCTCAATACAACCAATATTATTACACGATGTCTTTATAAAGCTTTCAGCCTTCCACACAATTGTCCTGCCAACCGTAGTATGCAGAATATTGGAAACATTGCTATCGTCATTCTTCTAAATCGTTTATCTGCCCAGGATTGGCCATTTTTCATCCGAATCGTCGTCAGTAGCAGCATCTTCCACTTCAACTGTTGTGTGAAGTTATCCAACATGTCTGTTTCTTCATAAATTGAAGTCTCTTCTCCATCTTTTCCCACATTTTGGTCCAGCTAGTGGCTTCTATTTGTTGAGAGTTCTGTACATATTTCGTGCAGCATGTTAGCTCTGAAGTTAGGTTGTCTACGTTGATGCAGCAATAGATAGAGTCCACTTCAACTTCTGTTTCCAGGAGGGCGATCCATTGCAATGGAGAACTTAACATTTTCTTCCTTAACTACACCTTACATGGCCAACTTGTTCTTTGAGCAGCACGTGCTATGTAGTTCAGACAACTGTACAGAACGTTATGGCAATGTGGCCAGAAAATTTACTCTGTTTACGATGAGTGTCGCTGTCTTGTGCTTTCATATCCCCATACCATACAATGTATATAGAATCTCTTACAATAGAGTCCTCATGTCCACTAAATATGTCACCACATTTGCTGTACACCAGCGTGTTTTATAGCAACTGTAAAGGGGCTCCATCTCTTATAATTGACAGAATTGCAGGCTTTCGTATTGTGTGTTACGTTCTCTTGTGAGCCTGCTTTGTCATTTTCTGTGGAAGTTAAGTTCCCATAACTGATTAGTGTTCCTTTGACAGCCAGCTCTTTGTAAAATATTCATTGTCTTACGATCTAGTTGTCATTGAAAAATCTTCATTTTCTGACGATCTAGTTGTCATTGAAAAATCTTCATTGTCTGAAGATCTAGTTGTCATTGAAAAATCTTCATTGTCTGAAGATCTTGTTGTCATTGAAAAATATTCATTTTCTGAAGATCTAGTTGTCATTGAAAAATATTCATTGTCTGACGATCTAGTTGTCATTTAAAAATATTCATTGTCTGAAGATCTAGTTGTCATTTAAAAATATTCATTGTCTGAAGATCTAGTTGTCATTTAAAAATATTCATTGTCTGAAGATCTAGTTGTCATTTAAAAATATTCATTGTCTGAAGATCTAGTTGTCATTGAAAAATATTCATTGTCTGAAGATAATGTCTACATCACCATGACTACTTATATTGGCATTCACGAATATGCTAGGTTCATGTTCATGTACTATGCATTGCTAATGCAAATACGTGATAGCAACTGCCTTTTCAACCTTAACACATCGAGGCTTTGCAAAGCTGCAAGACTCTAATTCAATAAGTGGTTTCCTCACTCGAGAAGTACCACTTATTGCTTGTTCAGTCACTGCTCTGCCCTCGAACTTCATCATTACATCCAAACAAAGCAGGATTGGTCAAAGAATTATATTGACCATTGACGCCTTTTCTGTTATAGCTCAGGGACACCAGGCCATTGGTAAGGATAATGTTCACTAGATACTGACAGACAAGGTACTAAAAATACCTCCCCACATTGTTTTTCCTATTGTGTCAGAGAAAACAAATCCCTGGTGACTTTTCTGAGGTCATGGCTACTACTACTTCTTCTTATCACTTACAAATTGTAACATCTTCAATAATGGTCCAGCATTCTTTATTAGAAGCATTGGAGTATGAAAGAAAATTCCACAAGGTACATGTCAAAGTACTTGAGAGACATTGGTATTCACGTCCGAACTCCAGCAGGTACGAATCACCACCAATTTTAGTCCTCAACCACCGTTTGCCTCATTTATGCAAAAATAAACAAAAATACAAAGATGATGAGACAGATGAACAGACTGAACAATGAGCCTATCAGAAGCACTAAGCTGAATTCAAAACCTGCAGCAGAATCCTGCTCACATCCAAATCTTATGTCAATTCTGACTTCAATATGGAACTACTTGAATGGATGTTAATGTCCTACAAGTAATCGAGATTTCAAGGAGTTTACCTAAATTTATGAAGGAGAGGACGCGTGTCAATGGTACAGTGAATGAAGCTGGCATTCAGTATGGTGTGACAGAACACGTTTAGAGGAAGGATGACAAAGCTAAAATGCAGAAGAGAATGTTAATAAACAAGAAAAGGTTGAATATACAGGAAGATGTTGAAAACATCAATAATGAGCAATGTCCATTAATTAGTAGACATTCTTAAACAAGGTCGTATATCACTTTTTTACATAATCTTTCAGATCTGGTTCAAACTCCAAACTCTTTATACAAAAAAGACGTGCAACTAAACACCAAAAGCGTAGCCAAGACACATTGGTCAGAGTGTTGTCGTAAATACTGCCACCTTACATCAGGAGCTACTTGTAGTAAAAGGTGTTTATCCCCTTGATACTTACAAGATTCTCAAACTCCGTTGTTAATGGACTGCTCCTGTCTAGAAAGTTTTGGACACGCTTAGAGTTGCTCAAGTAAATCTTCTATTGATCCAAAAATGAGGATCAGCTCGAAACTGCGCCCAGAATTTCCTAGATATACACAATCCGTTAAAAACGCCTTCATCTGTCAATACATACAAGGTAATTACAGAGAACAACCACCTCACGAGGAATTACAGGCTTTTGCTTCATTCTAAAGGAAACTAACCATCTAATTATCATGAAATTTATACTCGTGACCTTTGACCTGTGAATTTTACTTCCAGTAATTTTGACCATAGCCGGTCTTCTCAGGGTTCATTGCCAATGCTAAATAATATTAAATATCAATAGTAAATATTTTTTCAATTAAAAAAACCTTTTTATCCTTGATATTTGAATAATAGGATAAGTGAGCATGGAAAGGTTACAGCTGCTGAAGAATTTAACGAATGGCTTTCGGTGGGATAGCGGTAAGTCTACGGACTTATAACGCTAAGATCCGGGGTTCGATTCCCCGCGGTGGGCCTAGCAGGTAGCCCAATGTGGCTTTTCTCTAAAACAAGCAAAAAAATTAACGACTTTAATCTTTGATTTTATAAAAACTTTAATTTTGTTGCAAGAGTCCTGAGAATGTGACGCACGATTTTGTCGAATTGGAAGGCACCTACAGTCAATTTTAACTGATCAGAAATGACTTTAAAATGCTGAAGAGTAATAAATCATTATACGATAAATAAATACCACATTTTCAAGTGCAGAGCATAACACACTCACACGATTTTAAATATCGAAATCTCGATTGAATAATATTGGTATCGGATTTAAATCAGAGAGGGCGTTGAAGTGTATTACAAATGTGGTTGTCATAACAACCCTTACCTTGTGGTCCTTTGGTACGTGTAAGTCTTTTTGAGTCTTCCGTCTGGAAGAAATAAAAATACGGTAAATATCGTTTCTTTTCCAAGAGGCTTAAATCTGTACATTTATTATATACATCACATAATACACAAACTTGTTTGCGAGTTATTGAGCTTAGTTAGAGAGTAGTGTCAATATTTAGCACACTAAGATCCTGAAATAGTTTAGCATCACCTATTACATTCTAGGCACTTAATACTTTATATTCTTGACTCCATAGATTTTGTAACATCGTAAAACTTTTAATGGCTGGAGACGGCTTAAATGGGTAATGAAGAAAAACTTTAATATAAGTTTAACATGACAGCAAATGTACAACGTTTCGACAAGGTTTTGTCATCATCAGGTACCCATTTAAGCCGTCTCCAGCCATTATTAGTCTCAAAGTGGGTTCCTCGTCATCGAATCGTAAAACTTTGTTTGTAGCCCAAAGCTACACGAATACTTTTTTGCGCTACCTGTCCCTAATTTGGAACTGATAGACTAGAAGGAAGGCAGCTATTCAACATCGCCCACCGTCAACTCTTATTAGACGTATTACTCTTATAACACACCAACGGCCCAAAAAGTACTAGTAGTAAATTTGTTTTTTGTTGTTTATTTTTGGTGGTAACAAGACGCGAACCATGGAATATCAGCATCACGGGCCGGCAGCCGCGCCTGGCCCCATTTAAAGGACAGGCTGTTCTAATAACTACTCAGTTTATTAAGACCGCCAATATAAAGAGAGAGAGATGGAACATTTAATTTTTCTTGTTGTGTAAAGATGGTTTCATCATTTACCGACCACACATTATTTTTTGTCAACTTATATAACTAACTGCGCAACGAACAACGCTTTGAAATTCGACTTGTAAACACAACCATCTCAAGTGCAACTGGTGCAGCGAAGTTTATTTTTTGAAATATGCCACAATTAAAAATAAAATAAAAATATTAATTTTTTCGTCGGTAAGAGAACTGTTACGTCTGTTTTATAGAAGTGTACATCGGGTTTTAATATGGGGGGGGGGGGTTGATAAGGGGTGGGTGAACCGAACTGTAAAATGACTTTTTATCCACTCGAGAATTGTGAGTAATTTGATTTTAAGGAACCGTTTTCTGTATTACTTCCTTCATTTCCTGTTGATTTCTTCTTTATCACAAAGAAGTGTTGTTTTTAAGCGAAAAGCTACACAATGGGCTGTCTGCACTCTGATCACTTTCGAGAATCGAACCACGTATTTTAATGTTATAAGTCCGGAAACTTACCGCAAGTGTGCATCAATTACTTATCAAAACTGAAAATAATCAAATCGAACAAAAATATTGTTCAGTATGTACCTTGACACTAGCTCCCCAGTGGCACAGCGGTATGTCTGCGGACTTACAACGCTAGAATCCGGGTTTCGATACCCGTGGTGGGCAGAGCACAGATAGCCTATTGTGTAGCTTTGTGCTTAATTAAAAACAAACAAACAAACAAACCTTGACACTAATTTACGATTACATTTACATCAGTACTATTTTCTACAGCGGGGACCCGAAGCGGAACAGCGGACTTGCAGTGTTAGAAACCGGGTTTCGATTCCCGTGGTGGGCAGAGTACAGATAACCCATTGTGTAGCTTTGTGCTTAACTTAAAACAAACAAGCATCCTCTCCAGCGGATTAGGTAAAAACAAGAACTAAAAAATGTCTACGGTCCCCCTGATTCTATTTTCTACTCGTTTATAAACAGTGGGGGTGGGGATGCAGGGGGTACAACAAAAGTTCGCTTTGATAGGCCTAAATAAAATGGGCGATACGGACATAAAAGGGAAATGAAAAATTGTAGAGATGAACATAAAACAAACGTAGTTAATATACCTTAGATTTTCCAGATAAAATATTGATAACAATAAGAGTATCCAATTGATGAATCCAATCATTACGAGTTTTTGTTATGTGAAACGAAACAGGTATATTAAATTAGCTGCATTAATCGCGACCTTAAGCTTTACTTCTACTCTGTATTGAAGTTGCTTTGAACACAAGTTACTCACGCTAGGCCTATTTTAATTGTTTCTTTTCCTATTTACTCGTCTGCCACCTAGTTAATTAATTCAAATTTTAATGCAGAAGGAAAACGTTTTAAATATTGTAGCTTTATTTGATAAAATATGGTTTCGACCTCCAGAACATTGTGTACTTTGTGCTCAACAATAAACAACATTTATCTGAAATATTTAACACATTATTTATTTTCGACGAGACTAAATGTCAAGGCATCATGTTTATTACGCTGAATGTGTATTTGAATATTCAACAATGCTGCAAAATTAATAACAAAAACATAACAAGATGGCCAGTAAACTTTCTTTTTAAGTTCAAAATATTTAAAACAGCTTGGCATTGGCAGTGGTTACGGCACTCGAATCGCAATCTGCAAGTCGGAGGTTCGAATCTCGTCACCAAACATATTCACTCTTTCAGCCGTAGGGGCGCTATAAGTGCCGAGTGCATGCGGGTGATGACAAGAAACGGTTAATCTAGATTCCATGGCGTTACTACGACGGAAGTTATTAACACTGTTTTAGAAAGGAAAACCCACTACCATATATTTTAAAGAATCTGGTTGGTTCTGTAAAGTATAGATCTGTTCAGAATAATAAGTCGCAACTCAATGCTTTTTTGGCCGCACCTAAGGTGTTTTGGATTATATTATATATAGCAAATAATAATACCCCCCAAGGCTATTCTGGCACTTAATCTATAAACATTATTTGTGAAAATATGTCTCTTTTATGATACGATGCAACTGTTTACAAAATTAAACTATGTAACAAACCGTTTCCACACACCCTAGAAAATGTAGTATTTATATTAAGACCCCGGTTTGTCAAAAACCCACTCAAAATTACAGTTTTTTGTCGGAAAAATTATAATTTCAGAATCCTTTTTGCGCAGAAAAATACCATAAAAACCGGATAGCACTGCCGTTTGTAAAAACATATTCAGCTCTTTCGAAATCAGTTATGAGAAGGCCAGGACCAGGTGAAGAACATGAATAAGAAAACAAAGGAAGCTGAAAGAAGTGTGAAATGTGTTTACATTGTGATCCTCCAGCTATATGTACAACAAAACATTGCCACGTTATCCCCCGAAGTAGACGTGGAGTAGTGGAAAAGATACAAAAGTCAAGGAAGAGGCAGAGCAAGATCTTCCTATGGAAATGTGCACTGAAGGAAGTGTTTCGTTACAAGATTTGGACATTGAGATTGGAGAGGTACTAGAAGAAACCTAGAAACATGTTTAATTCTCACTCATTGTGCATTTAAATTGATTATTAACATCATTGGAACTAAAACAGCTCTAATATTTGCAAAACTTAAAGCATTCCGAATCTTTCCTTTGATTTTCTGGGAAGTCGGGAGGTAGCCGATCGTTTTCGCCTATTTCTCCACGACCAGAAAGGATTTTTTAAATTCTGAAAGCTGCTCTCCCCTTTTTAGATCATTCTGCATCTATTGCGCACGACAGCTCCAAGAGTGGGCTTCTTGCTGACCGGGATCTTAACAGGAAACACATTAAATAATTTGCTCACAGCCGATCCCACCGAGGATAATGTGGACATGTTCAGAAAGTCAGACAACGTAGTAGCCTCGTCATCTGTTTCTACATTGTTCTAAGAACGAAAATAAGCAGATGGTAAAGTCAGAAAGCATAGCTATTGAAACTACCACTTTTGTTCACTAGTTTATAAATTTGACTTGAACTCTATTTACACGTGCAATATTCAATATGCACGCTTGTTACTCTCGGTGTGTTGGACAATCCACGTTATACGTGACATGGTTGTCGTAGTTAAGATGTTAAACATGAGGTTCGTAGCTGAGATATCTGACATGACGTTCGTGGTTAAGATGTGTGACATGATGTTCGTAGTTAGGATGTGGCACGATGTTTGTAGTTAAGATGTTAAACATGATATTTGTAGTAAAGATGTAACATGATATTCATAGTTAAGATGTGATATGATGTTCGTCGTTTAGACGTGTGACATGATTTTCGTTCTTAAGATGTGTGACATGATTTATGTATTTATGACGTTTGACACATGATGTTTGTAGTTGAGACGAGACATGATATCCATTGTTAAAATGTGTCATAGCTGGATAGTGGATACTAAGAACGTGAAGTGTGTGTTGTCACTGCGAACTCGGGCATCAAGACTACCATTGACATCTACTGCTGTATAAGTAACGAAGGGATTAATTAGGAAGTGATATTAAAACAGAGACGTAGATTCCTATAAAATACAATAAAAGACAGTAAAATGAAAGTTATATTTACTTTTTTTGCCATAATCAAGTAAACGTATTTTTAAAACGTTAGGAATATAAACTATTTTGAAACTATGTGAACATAAAATATATTTGGAGGCTTATTTTACAGTTTTTAAGCTAAAAGTCTTATAATTAGTTGAAATACGCCCCTCCGATAAATACAGGTTGGACTTAGCGAGCCCCCTATAAAGGAAAATGACTTTAAAAATAGCCCAAGAAAACTTTCTTCGTGGTAGAACTGTATTATCATAATAACTGAATCAGCCTAACATCATTCCAAGTATTCATCATCGTTATCACTACTACGTGTGTGACAGAAGGGTCTTTATAAATAGTACCAAGAATTACATCAGAAGTAGTATATTTATTTGTAAGGGGGGCTTCCCCCATACATACGTATATAGAGGGGGTCGCTATGTCACCGTTATATACGTGTGTAAATGGGTTCATGTGTTTCAGCCTGCAGGCTAACTAAGATAAGTTTGTAATATTCACATCACACGTTGACTGCCACATTTGTTAGCGAAAGCTGTGAGTGAAAAACAACAACATGGAAGCAAAACCGTTCTGTGTTAGTATGCTTATCACACATATTATGGGCTTCTAACAATAACTGAGAACGATACACTTCTGCCAAGTTTAAGGTACTGATCAGGGCTTGCAACAATAACTGAGAACGATATACTTCTGCCAAGTTT